AAGCAAGAGTTTGTATGTTTAACATGACGTGTTATAAGCAAGAGTTTGTATGTTTAACATGACGTGTTATAAGCAAGAGTTTGTATGTTTAACATGACGTGTTATAAGCAAGAGTTTGTATGTTTAACATGACGTGTTATAAGCAAGAGTTTTTCTTGTTAAGCGCGAAGCTACACAATGGGCTGTCGCTGCTCTGCCGACCGCTGGTATCGAAACCCTATTTTAAACGCTATAAGCCCACAGACTTACCGCTGAGGACCGAAAAAAAAAGAAACTTATTTAAAAACACATACTCAAATGGCAGATAGTTAAAGCACGGTGATTAAAATAATAAATGTAAATAATTTACGTAAACTCTGCGTTTATATTACACAACTTTACCCCAGCACTCAGCAGGTTAAAAATATACATTTATTACATTGAACATATAACCATTATTGCATACATAGCAGCTTGTACACGGGTTTTTCCCCTTGCTTAGTATTTAGTATAGATTTATTGAAACCTCCTGACAAAAAAAAAAGTGACGTTTTGATGACACAGTTTATGCTACGTTATTGATTGTTATTAGCACTGATTTCGATAAATAATAACCAAGTTATTATAAGACTAAAATATGCAGTGTGTCGCTTTCGTCAGTCTAAATTTTACACAGAAGGTTGAGTATGTTTAGTATTAGGACAACTCTGAATATGGACTTCAATGAGTCATGGTGGAACAACATGTACCAGAACTATAGTTCAACTTTGTTTGGCGTTATATCGGTAGTGTGATAACACCGAAAATTCTAAGTTGTTGTTTTTTTTTTTAAGGTATCTAATGACCTTTTCCAATGTAAAATATTCATACACTCATTCAAGACATAGATAATCATTTTGCTAAATGGCATTAAAACGCAGAGGAATGTGAATCATCTTGGGGCACCAGGACCATCCAGAAAAAAACCTAAAGGTTCATACCCCAGCTGTGGTAAGCAGAGTATGGCGTTTTGTAACATATCAACCAAGTTGCTGGGCATCGCGTCTATGGGTTTCTTTGCGATCTCACTTATCAATTGGGTGTTAGGAAATGGTCATTGTCGTACACTAGATTGATTATGGAACGCATCAGGAAAAATGGGTGTGATTTGAACATGACGAGTCTTTGGCAATGGAAACTACGCTGCATGGCTATTGTCTGTATGCACGGTCGTGAGATGGAGCATAGCCAAACGTAACTCGTGGAGTGTAACGATTTGGTGAGGCACCAAAATGATTTAAATATAACCTGCTCATTTCTGTATAAAATAAGGGAGTTTGAGTACTCGGAGCTTTCTCTGGGTAAAAAAGTAGTCCAAGAGTTGGCGGTTGGTGGTGATGACTAGCTGCCTTCTCTCTAGTCTTACACTGCTAAATTAGGGACGGTTAGCGCAGATAGCCCTCGTGTTGATTGGCACGAAATTCATAACAAATCAAACCAAACCAATTGTGAAGCGCCACCACAGAAATAAAGCGACGATTGTAGCATTTATTAAATAATTTTTCTATAGTTCTAGAAGAGCCTAAAATTTATCTAATGTAATATACTCAATAAACGAACTTTAAAATTTTGATTTTGTTTTTTATTACTTATTCCTAGAATTACTACGCCCTCTACACCG